TTCCGTTTCGTGTCCAAACAAACTTGTAGTCTAGGTCTCGCTTCTTTGTTTTAGTTAACCTCAACAGATTTTTGTTGTGTTAGGTCAGGCTTTCATTCACGTAGATTTCGTTTCACCAGTAGAATTTTGAAAACCAAGATCAGAAATATTCATCTTCCTAATGTTATTTCGGGCGATTCGGCTCAAAAAAGACGCTCTCGTTTTTCTAGAACGGCATTTTGTTACAATGCCTGCCTGTTTCTTGGGCGAATTTCTGTGGCTTGCTTCGTTGCCATCTTTATCAATAATAACTCTGATTTCTTGGCCAACTTTTACAATAATTTCTTTGCAATTTTCATCAGAAAGGTGAGGAGCCTTCGAAACTTCATCCATCTATCTGCGACCATATCGCCTATATTCTCTGTTTATCTTTCGTTTTTGCTAAGAAAAGCATTGCACGTTTCTAGGTTTTATGATTGAAGTTTTTAATATTCAGCCCTAGCAAAACTACATTTAGAAATTCACTCAACTTCTATTTAGTGAAGTTGAGCAAAGTTTAGCGAGGGGGACAACACGGGACCATATCTTTTATTGAAATTTATTTAACTGTGAGCTTTTAAGACGACTTGAAAGTGTACTGTAGGGGAACCTGTAAAGGAATTTGCTGATCAAAATAACTGTTGTTTTATGTCTTTCAGTAATTGAGTTAGCCACAAAAAACACCTTTGCCGAAAAACGAGACGTATTGAAGGTTTGAGGTTTTGTTTTGGTAAGGGTAAGGTATAGCGACTCCTGCCGATGCACCAACGGCCAATCGCCGCTTCTTATGACTTGATAGTAAAAGAAAAAATATCAATTTCTTATTCCATGAGAGACCTGGTAATGTCTTTTGACGGACCTATATAATTTATACACAGACATTGTTGATGTTTCCTCATCAACTGTTATTGTAAAGAGACATTTAGGGGATTATCCACTCAGTGGCAGATATTATGTGGGAATGGGGGGCATTTTTTTTAATTTGAGCAGGTGCGACAAATTTGTATTGCGCAGTGCAGAATTTTCACAGATAAAATTTTTGATATTTTCCGTATTTCCCAAGGCCAGGACTGAATTCCGTAAAATAAATGTCTTTCAACAATGTGCCTCGCCTCGTCATGCTTAGAAAGGCCACTTTCTTACTTCCAGTTTTGGTAAAAGTAGTCACACTGAAAAGAGTAACAATATAAAAACCAGATTTTGGATGTGAATGTCTATTGTTGCACAAACAGAACAGAGGTGGATTCAAAGTGAGTTCCTTGGTGCACAGAACTCAGTAAGTTTTCTAACATACCGCTAAAAATAGTGTTGCCTGAAACAAGTAATATTTAAAATAAAAAATAAAAGCTAAAAATTCTAATTGCCAGTTTCTTCTCTGCCGTGATTTGGCATTGATTGGATGTATGCACACCAGAAGTAATGTTGCGAGACTTTGTCACCCGAGGAAGGAAGGAGGAAAAGGACTGATCTGCATTGAAAAATGTACAAAGAAGGAGAGTAAGTCGTTGCGTGGCTATTTGAGAGAGACCGCAGAGTGGATGCTTCAAGCTGCTTTGCAGGAGAAGGTATTAGATGAAAAAGAGAGTATCCAGAACTACCAGAAGAGAATGCGCGAGGAAAAAGTCAAGAACTGGAAGGAGAAAGCCCTGCATGGAGAGTTCGTGCGACAAACATCAGATATAGCCGGAGAAAATTCTTGGGTATTGGCTTAGGAGTGGTTTTTTGAAAAAGGAGACAGAATGTTGGATCTTAGCTGCCTAAGAACTGGCATTAAGAACATACTCGACAAGTAAAGCATAGATAAGACTTCAGAGACACCTCTGAGTAGATCGTGTGGACACTCTACTGAAGCTGTAAGGCATATTATCAGTGGATGCACGAAGCTTGTCCAGAGAGAGTACAGGAAACGTAATGACAAGGTGGCCCTGCGGGTACACTGGAAGATGTGCAGCAAGTACGACATAGAATGTACCGACAAGTGGTTTGATCATCATCCATTAGCAGTCGCAGAATATAGAGATGCTCGAATTACCTGGGAACGACTATCTACACAGATAGAAAGCTGCAGCACAATCGACCGGATACACAGGAGTGGACACTAATTGACAAAGCTGTACCAGCGGGTCAGGACATTATCAAAACCGAGGACGGGAAGTTGACCAAATATCAAAATCTAGCAATCGAAATTAAGAGACAACACAGAGCATTGAAAGTGACAGTAATACCAATCGTGATTGGTGCGCTTGGAGCAATCTCAAAGAACGCAAAAGACCTGTCATAGGAAGTTAGACATTCCTGACATCGTTAGAACAGCTCACATATTACGGAAAGTGCTGTGTTTCTCTGCTGCAAGAATTACCCACAAGAGCATCATTGGACTGGAAAGAATCACACAATAATAATAATTAAAATAATAATAATAATGGAAACATTTCATTTCCAATTCAACTTAAACTACAACTACAAATCTCACTATTACAATGTAAATTGCAATGGGCTAGTCTGGTTTTACAAGAAAAAAACTATAACAATCGTAAGGTATAAGGAAAAATTGAGAAAAAAAATAAACAACTAAAGTTAAAAAGGATGTAATTCCAGATTTTTCCATGGCTTTTTTTTGCAACAAGTATGTAGTACGTAGTACGGATGGCAATGTTGGGAAGTTTAGAAATGAGGCACTGTTTTTGTTGCTGATCGATGGAGAGAGAGAGTCACACATTTTGAAGAATGAATTGCAGGAATTGCCAAAGATGTCAAGAGAGCTCATAGAAAGATTAACAAAGGAGACACATTTAAACTGCCCTTCTAAACCAGATAAGAGAGGAGCATACTTGCTGTGTTTTCTTGTACAATAATAATAATAATAATTATAATAATAATAACAATAATAACGATCGATTTATTCACAGCATGGTATGATATAGATATCTATGTACAAGCTTATTTAGGCCTTCTTTGCAAAATTTAAGAATAAATATTCAATAACTACATGTATATAACAATTAGATAAATAAATTGAAAGAAAAGAACTTGAAGATTAACAGACTTTTTGAAAATTTTACAATGAGTTTATAGTTATGTTTTACTCTTTTCACACCAAGGCGATTATTTTCTTCATTTTCTAGTCATAAAATCCAACATGAGCTACGTAGCATCAGGTTGCAACAACATTCTTCTCCTTTCCATTTTTTTATCTGAATTAAACTGGGCAATATTTGATGACTCTTGTATTTCTGTGCACAACTTATGCCATAAGTTTTTTTTATTATTAGCTAGCTATATTAGGATAAGCAACGAAAGGAGCATCGTGGCAGGGACCAGGAGGGGGGGGGCAGATGTTCCCTAGCTTCGACCATTCCAAAATTGTCGTAATTTCGTATCTTTTCGGCTAAAGAATATTGGGCGTTAATAGAATGCTATGAAAGTTCAAAGATACCAATCAGCACATGGAGGAGATTATGAAGACAGAGGAAGCCAAGAAACGTTTTCGAATGACAGTCAAACTGATGGTTAAGCTAATAAAAAACTGATGGTCAAGCTTTATTCACAGTCTGCCTAAACCAAATCTGTACAATTTCACAGCTTCACGGAGCAATCTACCGGTCGCACGGTGTGACCCCATACAGATATATCAATTGGTGAAGAAGTCATGATATATCTACAGCACATGGATTTGGGTATTCTTCGAGCTGTTTGCAGTTCGAATCCATCAATACTTATGCCACGTTGTAGTGTCTAGATTCTGTTTCCAGATGAAAATGGCGTTAGAAACTTTCAAACGCAAATCTAATATTAAAACCAAAACTTTCCATTCAGTAACACTGCTCCATCCATCCATCCATCCATCCATCCATCCATCCATCCATCCATCCATCCATCCATCCATCCATCCATCCATCCATCCATCCATCCATCCATCCATCCATTCATCCATCCATCCATCCATCCATCCATCCATCCATCCATCCATCCATCCATCCATCCATCCATCCATCCATCCATCCATCCATCCATCCATCCATCCATCCATCCATCCATCCATCCATCCATCCATCCATCCATCCATCCATCCATCCATCCATCCATCCATCCATTCATCCATCCATCCATCCATCCATCCATCCATCCATCCATCCATCCATCCATCCATCCATCCATCCATCCATCCATCCATCCATCCATATCCTGCTAGACTTCACAAAGAGCCACGAAAATTTGTCACTGTGGAAGTTTCTATGCAAGAGCCTGTTATTAGTTGTCCCAGGTAGGCCTAATTGAAGCCTTGGTTTCTCTCTTCCCTACGTATGTGCCTTTTTCGAATTACCATTAAACCTTAAAATGAACATTTCTTCTAAATCACCAATCCTAGGTAGGACTAGGTTAAAACGGCTTAGCTAGAGTGGAAGCTCTAAAGACGTTTGTTGTAACTGCTTTTCTCAGATTACCAATTACATTACGTTAAACATAGAATTATGTGATACAAAAAGACACGAAGGCTCTCAACGATCACGAATGTATGACCCCCAAACTGTTTATTTTAGAAGCAATTTAATTGGTGTAGCGTAGTTTAGGGCATCTTAGTTCGATGATTATGGGCCCCTGATCAAAACGGTCTTCCAAACTATTTTATATCTTTGTTTTTAAGAAGTTGCGCCAATTCACCTTGTTTTCAAAACGAGGACTTTCTTGCAGTCCGTTCTTCGAGGCTTCGTCTCAGCTTTTTCCTTAGGCAGCCTAGAGGCCCCCGTTATGCCACGTGGCTAGTAGAACTGATGGAGCAACCCTAACAGTTCAGACCTCGCGTTTCTGATTGGCCTGTTTCGATGAACTGATTTTCATGAGTTTCAAAGACAAATTTTAGGAAATTGAAATTGAATTATTACGCTTCCCTGTTAGATGATAGATAATGTTAAAACGATTAAGAGGTCCGAAAGAATAGCAATGACAGACAGACAGAAAGAAAAGCAAAAATATTCGCTGAATCGACGAAATGCAAAATGCTCTAATTCAAAATCTTAGTGAAAGCAAATATTGGATACTAACAATTCTGGTAAATATAGCTAGCCACAAATATTCGTCACGGTGTCGAGGTTCTATGCAAGAGCCTGTTATTAGTTGTGCCAGGTAGGCTTGGTTTTGTTTAAGTTCTCTCTTCCCTAAGTATGAGCCTCCATCGATTTAACCCCTAGACCATAGAATGAGCATTTCTACTAAGTCACCAACCTGATATGACAATTTTTTAAAAATGAATAACATATGTCCATTCTGAAAGGGTTTTTAATCGCAAATGGCAAGCTATAATAGAGGAAACATTTCAAAAATGTTATTGTTTGACGTCCAAAATGCTTCGTTTCTCAAAGTGAACATCAAGAACGCAAATTGTGACAAAAGTGAACTAATTGTGTGTTAAAATATAGAACTTCTAGACGTGAGGGTTTATAGTATGCAAGAAACTAAGATGATGTAAACATGTGCTAGAACAGATAAACACTGTGCAAGAACAAATAGTACCAACGTAGATATGATTTTTGGTAATGTCAATCTCAAAAGCACGTTATCTGAATTCATCAAAAGCAACCTTCCGTTTCCATACTCCATCTACTTTTTTAGAGATTCCTCTTTTTGTTGCTGCCCAAATCGCCTGGCCGGAGTCATCTATTATCCAAGAGCTTTCTGGCAACTCTGGTAACAAATCAACACTGGCTGCTTTCAGAGCTTTTCTGATTTGCCCTTGATCCTTTACTTGTGTCCATTCGGAATCTTCCATCTGATCAAACACACTGTATGGGTAATAAGAAATAGCATAAGATATTCCAAATCTGCTCAATCCATAGACAGTTTTCTTTTCAACATCAACACCCATCAGTGAGGAAATGTAAGGCAGCTGTCGCCAAAATTCATTCTGCTTCTCTGTGAAAAAGCAAGTGGCAGAGTCTCTTGTCGTGTGTGTTTTATTTTGATAACAGAAAAAGAATTGCTGATTTACTTCGTCATAAATCATGCTGAATGCTGGAGACGGCAACCTCACTGATTTCTCCCTGATATCTCTACTCTGGTTAATTTTGCATTTGAATGGCACATTCCTCTCTAAAGTCGAGTTCACAGTTCCATTGAATTTTGCCAAGTTGTTCTTATACGCAAAATCAATGATGATATCTTCATTGCAGTTTTCTCCTCTTGATAAAGTCTTTGGGTATTTTGCCTGGAGTGTTATCGAGAATTCCTGCCTGTTTAGCAGCCACATTGTATCAGTTTGAATCATAATAAACCCAGGCGTGGTTGTGTTTCTGGACGGGGGTAGACTGAAGCGACTTGTGTTGACGAATGCCAGTGATTTCAACTGAAGAAATTTGGTATTGAAATAAATCATGAGAGTTACACCATAAGCATTTGAGTTGCTTTTTCCAATCAAATGGGAAATTGAGAGGTTTAGGTAAAGATAGCTGTTTTCAACCAAATTATCCAAATTGAACGTTGTTAAATTAAACTGAAGATTGCTCGAATCTGTCTTGGATCTTTTGATTTGATACGTTGTTGAATAAGCCAGGATTCCAGCCTCAGTTTCTGTGGTTATAGTTAGAAAGGTATTGCCCATTGGATGTGCAGCGTCTACCACCTTGAAACCAAAGCATAGAGTTACAATTCATAAAAGAAATTTGTAAGACGGCTCAAGAAGTGATATTTTGTTATCAAATAGAACAAATATCTGATGCTAATTAATGTTTTTTCTGAATCATCTTCAGCCGCTGAGCAAAATTTTTTTGTTGCTATTTATCAATTTTCTTTGATCTTTCTCTTTAAAGGCAAAATCTTCTGTTTGCTTTTATTTCTCTCTTGCTGAGCAAGTTCCCATTTTTCTTCAATACTTTTCTTTATGATCGATTTAATTATCTCGACAGTTCACCGTACTATTTCGAGTAAACGCTCTTTTAATCCCCAATTCGAATAAACTTTCCTTCTTTATCAAAAAGCAGCTATATTGAAATAGCGAAAAATATATAAGCGATTAATAGTGTAATTGCGAAACGACGCAGAAGGAAATCTTATATGTTTTGAAACCGGGAACTTCATGATTTGCAGAGAGCTCCTTCGATAAGTAATACACCGCTGACGTTTAGAGCAGCCGTGACGAAAAAGGGTTGTAGATATAAGAAATATCCGTTTTCTATTAGTCAGGTTTTCATATATCGTAATTCATCGGCGATGATCTATGCAGCTTCCTGATGGTCTATGACAGTCTGCGATGGTTTATGACATATGAAAACCGGGTCATCGGGAACCATCGGATCATCCCCAATCATCGCAAAAGTCAAAATAATTTGACTTTCCCGACGCTTCCCGACAAACAATAGTAAAGAGAACAATGGATCAGGAATGTTCTCTAATAAAATGTTCATTTGAACTGAAGGGAGGGTAACTGTTTCGCGGAAAAACTGGAATGTTTTCGATAGTACAGAGAACATCAAAGGGGCTATAATTCCTACTTTGATTCCTAGTCTTAAGTTTGAGTTTCGTCATTTTTTCAAGGTGAATCAGGGTGAATCTTCAAGCTATGTCATGATCATTACATAATACACTAAACAGGCATTTTCCCAAGAAAATTCATACCCGGATTTGCCACTATTTTTTTAGCTTCATCGTAACAATGGCTTCTTCTAGAGCAATATTTTTCTGACGGGTGCGAGGGGAAAGTTTCTTACTTTGTTGTAATGAATTTTCATTTGCAAGTATATCCCGAAATTATCAATGTGTTTATCATAGATCGATGATAGTATCAAAAGTTGACTATTGGCCTTTATCAGCAGCCATATTCCCAAACTTTCATCAAAATTATAGTTTTGGCGCTTCAATATTGTTTATAGCATCGGGGATCGCCCCGACCATCGGGGATGGTCCCCGACCATCAGGAATGCTGTGCATCGGGGGATCATCGCCGACGGGTTACGATATATGAAAAGCAGGCTTAATGGCGCGTGGATTATCGAAATCTAATCTATCCTTTTGCCAATGTTTGAGAGGTACGAACAAGATGGTGTCTTACTTTAACGAGGGGAATCTACAGCTTTCTCAGATTCATTTTTATAAGGTTTTGACCAGCTACAAATTCAGGTCATTGCTGCTGCAGTAACATTTGACTGTCACAAATTGCCTGAAAACAATAAAGTCTTTGAAAGTCACTCTCCTTTCTTTCGCCTACTGGCCACATCGCGAGAGCCACTAGTTGTTAGGTCTTCATATAGATAAAACACAGAATTAAATATTTCAATAGATGTGTGTATTTTTATTTTTTAAATGGTAAGCTTTTTGGCATATAAGATGAGGTCATCTTGAACTCAACATATGATTGCATATCAATTTCATATTCTAGAGGGATTTTTGATAAGACAGAAGCTTTTTGAGCACTAAAAGGAGTTTGAAACGGCACGGTTCGGAGAAAGGATGAAGCAAGAACGCATTTTGGCGGAAATAAAGAGGGTTAAGACAGGCACTCTTCAAAATATAAACGACAGATAATGGTCGAAAGTAAGCTAAAAATTCTTATCCATTTGTTGATCGGAAGTAATGTGATAGGAAGAAAGACACATTTGATTTGTTGTTTGTTTTTGACCAATCAGCGACCGCTAATCTCTCACCTAGTTGAAGTGTCCAAGAGAGAAAAAAACGCTTTCTGTTTACACAAGTCGAGATCTTTTGTTTGATGTAGACAGATTACAAAACTCCTAACTGAAAAGATGACGTTGCCTGTCAAATGACTTGATATTATCGTCGCTTTACATTTTTCCACACTCTGGGCGTGTAGAATGAAATTCCTCAAAATGTACAAATTTTGACTGATATAGCTATATGATCACATGCTCTTTCCCAATCAAACCATTGTAATTTGTTGTTTTTGAATAAAAGATAGGCAATTTGCATTACCATCTACCAATCTACCTACAAGAACTTTGAAAGGTTTATCATACAAGTAAGGGCCACTTATAATTTTAACCCTTAGGAGCATGATGGAAGTCACCATTCAGGACGTGTGAAAAATGCACGGTCAGCAAAAAGTTTGATCATCGAAGTTTTCAAATCCGATAATAGCGTCGGAAAGAGCTTGAAAACTGAGTGAACTATTGTAAAATAATACATCAATTTGATTTAACCCACAACCAAAAAGTCATCTCTGTTGAAACTTAATGTTTGCAAGCAACCAGCCTCTCTTAAATTTGATGACATCTTTTGATACCAGCATGAAGTTTGGTACATATTTCCTAAGACGATGCTTTTGCAACCATCGAGCGGTTGCTTCAGTGACGTTTTGTAAAAAGAAAACATGCTCAGTTCAATCAAGAAACGCTGACGGTATATTAACAAATATTATCAGCTCCGCAACAATTTGATTGAGATGTACGAACATGATAAAAAAGCTGCAAATGGAAGGCCTGAATAAAATATGGAGAGTTATAATGATTTCTTCTATCCTTTTTGAAAGAAAGAGAAAATTGTGAAAAACTAGATGATCTGAAGAAAGAATGTAAAACCACGAGAAGAGTTAACTGGGCGGTTCTATTACCGATATACTGCATAGGTAGCAGCATCTTTTGCTAGAAAATCATTCTTTAAAAAATTTAACAAAGCCTACCTTTCCGACAAAGTCGACTTCAAATGCATAGTAAATATCTCCCTTTAAACCAAACTGAATCAGAGCTTCATTATCAATCTTTCTAGTCCAGTCGGTCAGCAGGTTTATCTCACCATTGTCCATTATGACAGTTCCATTATCAACTGTTGTCGATGCATTTATCCTGCGAAAGTGAAACTGATCATTGCTTGTCGCAAGGCTAGAGAAATCTGGGGCCGTAGAAATATGAACTGACATGTTTTTCGTTATGGTACCGAAGAGAGATATTTTACCTGTGAATATGTCATTCACAAACATGCTAGACGATGGCGAAAGTTCTACACTTACAAAACCCTTTGATATGGAACATCCAAATAACTCCATTCTCAAACAGGTCGAGTAATCAGAAGCTCTTGCTGTTGGAACAACTCTAATGAACCTCATTTGTATGTTTTGAATCCAGTTAACCTTTGTTTCAAATTGGTCAGTATGTTCCCCTTGTAGACCGTCCAATTCCACAGCGGAGCTTAAACCTCTATTGTAAAACTCCCAATTTATTCCGTCATTACTGTACTCTATTTTAAATTTAGAAATTCCATTTCTGCCGTTTAAACCACTACCTTGAATAGCAACAGCACTTAATATTTTTCTGGTTCCGAAATCCACCTGTAAGTATTCCGACACCGGTACATAAGTACCTGAACACCATCCCGGTTTAGAAGAATGCAATCTAGCAATATGAGGCATGTGGTCGATGTCATTACTCCAACTTGTCCTTGCATAAAACCTAGAATCCGGTATTTTTCTGGTTCGCACTCCAAGTTCATTTGAACAATCATCAATTCCATCCCGTTCATGAAAAGTCTTGATGCTGACTTCAATAATTGAAGCTCCTGACCCCCCAATCTTGTTAACAGATTTCTCCCAATCTTTTCTCACCTGTCCTGTATAGCCAACATATGCCAGAGACATATTGACATTTGGAACAGGGGCAGTTGCAAATGTTGCAGAAACACCAATCTTTTGTAGCGCAAGAGCTAGACCACTATTCATGTTAACTGCATCCTTTGCTGACATGAACAGGATCTTCCCTGGGGGAAGGTTATTTAGAAACGTTGCTAAATTGTCTTGATGTACTGTGCTGCCGACGACATCGTAATTCATCCTATGCTCAAATAGGCCACTTCTGAAATCAAAGAGAACGATATCTATCCCACGCATGTTTAGACTGTGTTGACGGCCATTGACTAGCACGTGACTTTTGCAATGAGCACAATCAGTATCTGGCGGGATGTCCTTACAGGATTCGGATATGATCTTGACTTTAAGTAAATCTGAAATATAGTTAAATTATGTTTAGTATATATGAAATTAGATAAAATATTTCAAACTGGCTCTTTTATTTGGAATTAATTTCTTACTCGGAGAAAAACATCAACATTAATTAAGATAAAATGATCCCTCATCAGAAGACGTTGCCACATCCCTCATCAAATCAGGTTTTGAGGCTACACACCATCATCACAGGAAGCAGCGTCGGGCCGTTCTCAAAACTTTATCGAAGAACTGGAGAAGAAGTTCGAGGGGAAAATCCGTCTTCAAAACTTTATCGGCAAAGAAACAGACGAAATACTGCAACAATTAGGGTCAGTCGACAACTCGAGATCTACAACAAACGGATAAACGAATTTCAGGATTTAAAAATAAGCGTGCAAGAGTTGAAATTGGAGAAAGGGGATGGCCCCGTTCACGTTGGTATGTGGAGCATCAAAAATACGGAAGAAATTTTGAGCCTATTTTCGCACAACTAAAAGGAAAATTAGACTTTGCTTCAACTGTATGTGATCCAGTCACAAAATCATAGAACGTAGGATGAAAAGTGGATGCCAAATCTGTGATGGCAAACACCATAAATCAATATGTGACAGGAAGGCTGAACAATCTCTTTTAGCCACAGGGGGAAAAGGAGTTAAATCCAATTGTTGTCGACAACGTAAACGGAGTAAAATGCAGAGCCTTGTTAGATACAGGTGTCGAAAGTTCGTATATCTCAGCCACATTGGTGAACCTGTTGGGTATAAAGCCAGTGTTGAAACAAACTAGGCAAATAGATAGGATGCTGAGTACAGCACACAAGCGCATAGAGATCTACAATGTGGAAGTTAACAGCATTAAGGATGATTTCAAATTGGAGATTGACGTAAGTAAGTAGGTCGAGAGGTGCTTTAAGCTATAAAGAATCCAAGATACGAAGATGTTCTTAGAAGGTATCAACACTTGCAAGGAGTGAGAATGGATGATATAGATCTAAAGCCAGAGCTTCCAGTTCACCTAAACGTGGGAGCCTCAGAGTTTGCAAAGATCAAAACAAATGCCAAGGTAAAAATTGGTAAACCAGGAGATCTTGTAGGAGAGCAAACCAGATTAGGATAGACACTGATGTCTCCAGGAGTCGATACAGGGTAAAGTCAGATTTTTTTCTCTAGAGGCACTCTTGGAGACTATGAGCATCTTTGTAGTCTGGATTTGTTAGTCCTTGAGGATCGTAACAAACAAGAGGAGGATCTTTCAGTTTACGGTGCGTTCAAGTGCGTTCTAAGAACAGTTAAGACAAGATCTACAAGGGTGCTATGAGCCTGCGCTCTCAAGGAAAGCAAAATGCCGAGAACTGCAAAATAACAAGACAGGAAGTATCGCAAGAATGAATTAGGTCATAAATTAGAAAGGGAACCAGAGCTGTTTATAAAGTACAATCAGATAATCAGAGACCAGGAGGCACATGGGATCATTGAAAAAGGAGAGAACGAACCAAGTGGAAAGTTCTTTTTATTTGCCTTACAAACCTGTAGTGAAGGAAGCTGCAGAAAGTATTAAAGCAAGGGTGGTGTATGATGCCTCTGCAAAAGCCAACAATTATGCAGCTTCATCAAACGAATGTTTAGAAACTGGACCGCTGCTGCAGAATCTTATATGGAACAGAGTGAAACCAGTCTCATTAGCAGGAGACATGAAAAACAGGCGTTTCTACCGATTAGAATAAAGGAGGAAGACCGAGATCTTTTGCGGTTTGACAAAGAAGAGAGGAAAGAGGGACATGCCGGTTTGCGCGCATACTTTTCGGTCTAAACCATTCTCCATTCCTGTTTGGGGCTACAATTAAGGGACATCTGAAAAATAAAAAATAAGAGTTTCCTTATGGAGTGAACGAAGGAAGACACAGCATCTATGTTAAAGGGCCTCTCCAGCCAAAAAAAAAAATTTTTATTGACTAAAAAGTTAGCAATTGGTGCGTGTATTATGGCAAAGTCGTTGTTATTGCAAAATTCCAATTAGTTTAGAAGTTATAAGGCTTTAAAGTTGCACCTTTCCGAGAAAAAAAACGACGAATCAGTTTTGTGACATTCTGACGTCACAATGTGCGGCTCTCGTTCGCCGTGAATTTCGTATATCTTCCACCGAATCGTGAAGGAGTCATGGTCACGCGTTGATAACGGCATCTAAATCTAGAGCACGAGCTGTTTAGGATCGAAAAATATTAAATGTTTACAATCATTCTAAGTTTGCGGGTTGGAATGTGTCCATGCTGTGTCACGACTTTGTTTTGATCACATGTGTAGGCCCACAAAGCTACGGCTTCCTGTTCCAGCTCTTCCCTCGCGTATAATTAATCAAAATTGACACTTCAGTTGTTCTCCAGAAACGATGAACAACTAAAGGCTTCAGAATTGATATCTGAAATGCTCAAACTAAAAGCCGGTGGAACAGAACTGAGAGTACCATCACTTGCAGTGTTCAATTTGCGAATCGCTGTCGTTCGATTCGGTTTGAGGCGAGACTAACGAAATACACTGTGACGTCAAAATTGCGTCACAGTGTCACCAAACCGAAAACTTTTTGTCGGTTAATTCAATTCAATTATCGAAATGCAAGAGCTTATATCTCACAAACTGTAAAAAATATCGAAAAACAAATGACGAATTCGTGATCAGCAGGCTCAACTCCTTTAGATTGGCCAATAAAATGCTAGTGCAAAATTTGGCTGGAGAGGCCCTTTAATGACATAATTTTATCTGCAGAAACTGGAAACGACAGTAATCAAGATTTTCGATGTAGCCGGCTTTAAATTACACAAATGACATTCGAATATACCAGAATTGGAAAGTAATAATACAGAGAATTCAAAGCAGAGTTTTGCAAAACAATAGTTACGGTTGAAGACAGACGAAAACAAAGCTTCTAGGTCTATCTTGGAACAAGGTAGATGATACAATTGGATTGACCTTTCCGGAAGAACAGATCACAGTTATATCTAAGAAGAGACTGCTAAAAAGTCTTGCCTCAATATACGATCCTCTGGGAATAATCTCGCAAGTAATTCTAGGGGGTAAGATCATATAAGGAGATGTTTGTGAAGCAAAGCTGCCATGGCATGAGGAGCTACCAAGAGAATTATCGGAAAATTGGAACAAAAGGACAAGAACACTACCAGAGAAAGTAGAGATCCTCAGAAGTATATCAAAATATGAAGAAAAAGTGGAAACATCGATCTACATGCTTTTGGTGACTCAAGTGGAATTGGCACAGCAGGTTTCAGGTTAAGGTTTACAATCAACCCCAAGCAGGGATGTTACCGAAAGACCGCACTGAAGGATCAAGACCGTTCAAAATCGTTGGGGTGGATTTTGCAGGCCCCTAAACTTACAAAGTTAAAGTAAAGACGGAAGGAAAAATCATATTTTGCACTGTGCGCATGCAGTTTAATTAGAGCTATATACATAACTGTTCTTACAGACCTGACAACTTTATGATTTGCTTGAAAGAATTCATTGCAAGAAGAGGGCATCCTAGCAAGATTTATCCTGACAATGCGAAAACATTCATAGCTGCTTCAAGAAAGATAAAGAAGATAATGATAGTTGAAGAAGTTCACCACATATTGATAATCGTGTTGTTTCGAGTGGCGCTTTAAGTATATATTCCACTCTTCTCTATTTTATCATGCAAAATTCATTCTCTGGCCAATTATAAAACGCATGTGTACTCCACTCCCGTGAACTTTGCTCCCATCAGAGAACTTTCACCCTCGTAAACTTTGGGGGGGGGGGTGGGTTCACCACTTCCTTTTGACGATGTTCATTTTCTGGAGCACAGAGTGAATAGATTATTCCTCCACATGGCAAAAGTTGTCACGGCAAGTAACTAGAGAAAAATTCCTAAACTTTGAGAGAAGAAATTGGTAGAAAAAAGAATAAGAGACTATTCGAACAAAATAGAAACTCATGGCGGTGACTGTGTTGGAATCGAAAAGGGTCAAGCCATGGCATCTTTGCTTTGGCGAGTTTCAGAACTCCACAAAACCCGACACAACCAGTAGCCGTGTTGCCAGGTAGGCCTCAAGATAAATCATGTTGAAACCATTTTTTTCAGTAATGATAGCCACAATACCATTCAGCCTAGTGGTGTAGTGCTACCAAAATAACAAGAGGGGCTCCTGTACAAAATTTTGCAAAAAGAATAGCAAAAGTAGAAATTCGCCAATTTTCTCATTAACAAGGTGGTTTAACCCCCCTAAGCTCCCTAGCATAACACCCCTGAGTCAGGCCCAAAGCATGTCCTTCCACATAAAATGGTTCTGTTCACATTCGAATGGGTTTGGTAATTTCTAGCCTAAAACTGAGGTTTATTTATAAAGAAGGTCTTTGCGAATCAGCGATCTTAAATTGATAATCGGCAAATAATAGACAACCTTTAATCAAGATAAAACGAAAGAACTATAATAGTATTTATCTTGGTTTACTTAATTGGAGTAATACCAAATTTGCTGGAAGTTCAGAGCTCCCAGTAAAGCATAGTAAAAGTAGTGGCGTATAATGCTGAAAACTAATTAGGCTTAATCACAAACAAAAAGAATTCAACATGGCTACATTATAAGGTTGTATTGTGCATCATTCACATGATATCAACAGATCAAAGAAGCCCATTGTACAGAAACAACGTTGTTGTGCACAAGACAATGCACGAGTGTTAACAGATTATGATAGAGCACATATAGCCAAGATAATGGTAGAGCACCAGAGAGCTATGTAGCCAGAGAGCTATGATGAATTTACATCTATCTATTTTGATATATAACAAATGGTTTACCTTTATCGTCAAAGAAGGAGAATCTCGCGCGGTCTTCATCAGTACATCCATTGCTATGTAGGATAAGCAAATTTCCATTGGCAGGATATAAAGCTCCATTCAAAGGATGTATACAATTAGTTGGTCCATGCTCAAGTAGAGAGAACTGGTTGAGTTTGTAAATTGTTTCTGGAGATTGACAGTCGTCAGTCAGTCGTATATATGAACTTGAGAAAATAACACATTTGCCGGTTTCAACGTGCCTCAAATGGTAATTATTCATATACTCAAAGCGATCGCATGCAAATGGATTCATCAGTTTGATCAAGTTCTCTGCAGAGTTATAAACCCAACATAGTCCACCAAAGTGCCGGATGATATAGTAGGCTTTCTTTCTGAAGTAGAATTTGTTGGTGTTTCCATCGCAGCCTGACTTCAGGACAATTGCAGTATTATTTGCAGGATCAGCATCTCTATTTTCTGGATGCAAACATTTGTTAGAGAGAAGATGTCGAATCACTCGATTGCTTTCATCGTATTGAAACAAACTGTTTGTACCACTGCATTGGCTTGACAAGGACAAGAAGCTTCCATCGCTTGTGGCATTGATATTGATGCATTTCTTTGTTGGTATATGGATGAGTCTTGCTCCTCCCTGCCATTGGAACTTTTCTCGGCAAAGTCGACCGTAAACCAGGACCTGACGGACCTCATCGTACTCTAAGCACTTTCCATCAAAATGGCGAATGTAATAGGTCTTTGACACTCCAAAGTTTGTGCCTACAACAAGCTTATTTTGTGCGAAAATAAAGAACACAAGGAATAAGAAAAAACGTTCCATATCCACGGTCACTCTTTGATTAAGATACGAACAATGTGCATTGCAGCTTTATAGTTGTGTCATGACATATTGAAGCACCCCTTTTAAATGTTTCTATTCGCTTGTAAAGCAAATAAAAGACAGGTGGTTTATTTAGCCTACACTGTATTACATAGACCTTAATCGATACATTAAAACCAATACAATGTTGATACCCTAGCAACGTCAACTGTGCCTGTTCTGTATGTTTATGAAAAACTCATAAGGTGTCATTGTATTTAAGCCTTTTTTTAAACGAAGACACTCTTTCATTTGATGCTAGGACGTATAAACCTTAGCTTTCATAATGTTAACAACAAGGTTTTGTAGCCACGAAAAAGTCACATCATTGCAAGATGTAGTAGATTTTGGTGTGATTTTAAGTTTGATAATTTATAGTTGCTCAACCAGTTCTCAACAGAAAAACATGTGGCTTGAAATTAGGAAAGCAAATCTAAGACAATCATATCCGCTTTTAAAGAATAATGTTTTCGCAGGTCCATGCTTTGTCAAAAAAACTTTATAAATTTGATCGATTTCTCATTTCTTACAAACTTTGGACGTATTCTAGATAGCAAACATGACCTGTGCAAAGTTCATTGGCTTCTGCAGCAAATGGCAATTTCATATTGTATATCAGTCAATTGCTGTCGACATCAGTCATACCTTTGGGTTTTTTTTATGATCACTTCTGCTAAACAATTAACAATGAATATTTTGATTCTGCTACGCAAAGAGCAATCTAAATTTATTCAAATTCCGAATGTTGATTGTGCTGAAATGCAAATAGGCAGTCTCCCCTGTCCTTAGGCAAAAAAAAGCTAAAAGTAAGGCCCGTATAATTGCTTTTGTAAAAAATTATAAAATCATTTTGATAGTTTGATTCTAGTATTATATGAATCATAAGGTATGCAACTTATTTCGGTAATTATGGCAATTATCAAATACAATCTTGGTACTTATTTTCAGACGAAAAACATTTACCTAGTTAAAAACCTTCTTTGAGCTGTGTTTGACTTATAATTAAAAATACAGTAGATGATGAGGTTTGTTCACGGGCGGAATAAGTTTCTATCATTCTCATGGTTTAAGGTAATCAAGTAAATTGTGAGATTGAAAAATATTTATAAAAAACGATATTCTATGCGAATGTTTTGAGTTTGCTGGGAATATGCTCTTTTTGACAAAGGGATATCAATCAAAGATCGCCAGTTCAGAGTTAGAAAACTTTTCATATTTATCTTTGTCGATGCCTCATTTTCTCTCTTAAAGTTGATTAAAAATTCATCTTTATAAGGTTTTTTTTAATATAATCTCAGGAAAAGGCTACAAAGAAATATTAGTCCCAGAGAATCAAATTAAGTCCTATAGAAATGAGCTGTGTCTATGCTTTATTGAATGAACTCAGCTTACACCTAGCAATATTCCTGTGATAGTAATCTCGTAGATGACTTCATGTTGTCAAACGACACTGCAACCAAACGAATTGTCATTCTCTTAATTCTCCTTTTGTGAAAAGTTACTTTTGTGGCATAAGAACATGAAAAATCCTGATAAGCAAGTCAAAAAAGGATAGTATACTAATAGTAAATCGCTGAAATTTACAATCTTCAATGGTGTTTTATACATAGGCCATGAAAATTTATCTGTAACAGGAGTTTCGAA